AACATGTTTTTGATAAATGGACATTTCTAAGATCTAGTTGCTAAGATCGAAAAATAAAGATATTTATTTAATTGAAAAGGTTGTAAAAAAAGATTAGTAGTTTTATTTGTCCAAGATTTAATTTATTTATTTATGTGTTCCACAATAATCTGAAAAGTCTTGTAATATTTTAAGAAATTTCCATGTAAATTTATTTAAATTAAAGTTAATTAAATCTTTCTTAACATCTTATATATTTTCTGTTACTGTTACAAATTTCGGTAGTAAATCACTTTTTTAATAATGATTCCAAATAAATTTCAGTTGTAGTTTCACGACAGACATCTGCGCTATTGGAAGGTTTCCACACAGGACTACGTCTATCTTAGAACACTAGCATCGACGTACAATAGAGATACGTGTATAAGTAGCAAAAAAGAAAACAGAGATAAAATGCCAGGATGTGGTATTTGATAACAAGCTAATTTGACAAAGACATGAGGAAGTGGCAAGAGCAAAGCCTATCCGGACGCTCATGGCATGCAAGGTCATCCCAAGTAGAACGTGGGGAAGCTCCCCTTCTATCATGTTATGTATACCACACGGCTAAGGAAATATTTCGTAATGTCAAAGTATACCACAATAGTGGTACCTCTCCTGACATAGAGCTTTGGCTTGGGTGAGAAGAGTGATATTTGAGACAACTAGAAGGACCTAGAGACACAGTAGATCATTTATGCTAATCACGGTACACTGTTACTCCATCTGCACAGTGCACATCCACATATATTAAAACAAAAATATTACATTCATTCCCCAAACAGTAAGTTACCCATGTCTAATCAACTTTTTGAAAAAAAATCAAAACGAAACAAAAATATTATGCATTCGTTACTGCAACTGTACCGCCACTCGGACTTGGCAGAAATCCTAATTTGTGGCATTAAATATTTGAGACAGGTATTTAAAAATATCATTCATTTGCCTTCAATATTTTCCTCTGACACGCAAATGATAGCACTGGTAACCGATTCTGAAATTGCAGTTCTGAAGTTTGGGTACCTTTATTGATTGTTTAGAAAAATTTGACAACTCTTTTAAAGTTTTTGAGGGAAAATCCTCTTTTGTGATTTTCTAAAATCCATGTAACAATGTGTTCTTCAAGTAACATATTTGATCCCGTTTTTGATTTCCACTAAGTTGATGATTTTTCACCTGCTCTATTTTAGAGCCACCCCATTATCTTATTCGTCAAATTGTTATTTTTTGAGCGTCATTCATTTTATTCCTTAAAGTAGTTACCTACACATAAACAACAAACGTATTAAGTTCCTTACTTTTTTCTCAAAATCCAAAATTAAATTGTATAAAATAACACAGGACTCAGATTTGGTTTCCAAAAATTTTATAATAGGCCACTACGGCTCAAAATAGAAAAACTTTAAACAATAGAGTAATATTTGTACATATAGACAAATAGTCTCTATACAAATATAATTTTTGAACTTTTGACTGAGATGTGTGGTTCATTCGTAAAGGGTTCAGAATAGGTATTGGGCTCAGAATGAAGTAATTTACCCTATGTAGCAAAAAATTATTATCTTTTGGCTTAAATGTATGTATACCACTCATATTACTTCCAGTACACTTTCCAGTACTTTTCCAAAAAAAATTGACAATAAGTGCTGTCCATCTACATGTTTCCAAACATTCTACACCCTTCTAGATAGAAAGCTAAAATTTCATATGTGTATAGAATTTTATTATAAACTTATTTCTGTAGCAGAAAATTTTTACCCCTAATAATAGTAGCCAACCAAAATCTTAAAAATGCATTTTTTAGCTATGTAGCGAAACCATAAGCATTTTTCAAATTTTCCAAATGCAGAAGAATAGTGGTTGGCTTCTTCTACCGCGACATACCATATTCGAACTTTAAAACTGTTAAAAACAAAATGACTGTTAAAGTTTACCGTTACCTAAAATCCGTTTTTTTTTCAAATTTTGATATCGCTTTTTTTCTAGACCTCAGGTTGTAAAAGTCTGAAATTTTTCCAGCTAATCTAGTTATTAATAAATAATTTACTTCTTAAGTTATCTTATAAAACTGCAACCTTTTCGAAACTTCTATTAATGCAGAAAGGTAATGCCATGCCATGTCATAAAAAAATATAATTGCTTTTCCTGATTGACGTCGTTAAAACTTAAATTTGATCATTATGTTAATTGAATACTAAATAAATGAAAATAATTTTAATAATGTACACAGATTGTTCTTAAAGCAATATTTTCACTTTTTGACGGGAAAAGTTTATTATTACTACGTTTTTATTAATTTCGTTTCTTGCTTGTTTGTCCAGGAACCAGATGTAATTGGATTTTTTGGCAATTTTTGAAATCTAATAACTTAGCTTTTAGATGACCTACCAAGTTAGGAAAGGGCTTGTTGGAAGGGTTTTGATGACAGTTCCAGCCCATTTTTTAAAGCAAACTAAAGGCTCCAATATGTAGTTAAGTGGGGCACTGTTGAATCAGGTCTTGCAATGATCTCAAAAATGTTATTCTGCTAATTTGAATTCTTAGGGTTCCGGCCTTAGGTCCTGAAAAACGAAGCTTCAAGGTCTTAAAAAACGAAACTTGAAGGTCTAAATTTTTGCATGGAACATCCACTCTCTATTTCAAGAGCGAAATTTGAAGATTCATAAAGAAGTGAGGTGTCGTTGAATAGATTTCGGTTTTGTCTTAACTTTTGCGTGAAGACCCTTCATGAAAATCAATCATGTTAGGATTTAAGCCAAAAATAAATCCTAAGAAGGCGAAAATTGAAGATCCATAAATATAGCCAAGTGGGTACCGTTGAAAAGATCTCGGTGTGTTTTAAATTTTTGCATAAAGATTCTCCCTGAAAATTAATCCTGTTAATATCCAAGCGTAGGAAACAGTGCAAGGAAGACTCCATGATGGATAAAATGCGGAATCGTCAACCTCCTTCTGACTTTTTTTTCTTTTTTCAATTTCTTTTTTCAATTTTTCTTCTTTTTTCAATTTAAAAACTTTAAAACTAAAAACATAGTGTTTCAATAATAAATAAATTTCGTAGAGAACTTAAATATTATATATGCAGTTGAAATAAAACTTGCTTTTCATCAGCACACAAACCACATTTTCACTTTTAAAATATTTAAATTTATGACGAGAAGAAATATTTGTATGGTTTAAATATCTAATATAATATTATAGCCTAATCCAGACTAGGCTAGAAAAAAAATTATTTTATCGAATTACTGGGAAATCCGCTTACATTCCGCTTCTTCCAGTATCATAAATATTATATATTTAGAACATACCACATCTTTCATTACAATTACGAAATTCGATCAAATTTCTAATAGAGTTGAATGTCCCAAACCGAAATTAAAATTTGCTCCGACGGTCTTCCGGTAAATTAAATTTGTATAGAATTTTAAACATATTGCTACTTTTACGATGTGCTGAACTGAAAACTGAAAAAAATTGAAGAACATTGTTAATAAATTTTCGTTTAATTTAAATTTTTCTTTTATGATTCTTGAAAATTTTTGAATACTGTCCAATATTTGAAAAAATTTGGGTAACATCGTTTTCTGCTTCAGAACTCATGACGGAGTTGTGGTACCGAAAAGTCTTTTTTGTTATTTTAATGGTATTTAATATTAAACGGCTTGGCAAATCAAATGAAATAGGAGGATCGAATGAAATTTTGAATTATGATCGGTATTGTTCATCAAGTCCAAAACGTTGGTAAAGTCATTAAAAAATTACATTGTCAAAACATAAAGATAATTTATTTACAGTACCTACAATTGTGTTTCAACCAAGTTAAAATCCTTCGTTACTTTTTACTGCATTTGAATTTTCCTATTCCTTTGGCTATATCGGGCTTATATATATTGATATATATAATTTATATTGATAGTTTTGCTCTATCAATTTGATCAAATGATCAAATATCTCTTGGTTCCAGGAATCAATGGTTTTAACAATAATTTGCGAACTTTTATGAACTTACTTTGCACAACACCTTGAATTTTACAGTATATTCCGATAAAAAAATAATTAATTTATTTTAATTTTTATACCAACTCTCGCTTTTTTACTCACTTTTTATTCACTTTCAAACCGGAATTAGAAGTATTTTCTAATGGATGTTTCACTTTTCCAATAAGATTACTAATTTTTTTAATTGAATTTTTGCATTTTTTCTCAAATTATCGACTAAATGATTCACTTTCAAAAACAAAGTGAAGAACGTTTGTATACAGTTTAGAAAAAAACGAGATACGAAATCTTAATAAAAAATAATTCTTCTCACTCGAAAATTACATTATACAAGTATATGATAATTACTCACTTTCCGAGTAAAATAGCGAGATAAACGATGAAGCCCTAAAACTCGTTCATAATAAGGGTATTAAATCATTGCTTGTATTCTTGTAACATCATGATATAGGGAAAGAAAAAAGTAAAAACAAATTTTTTAATACGTCTAAATAATAGTATATACACTATTTTAATAATAGTATAAACTTAAATTCATTGTATGTGAAGTTTTGGTTATCTCTGAAATCATTCATTCAAAAAATTACTCCTTACTCTTTACTCACAATATTCGTAATTGATTACCAAGAAAATTTTTCCTAATAGGCATAATTACTCCTATTAGGAAAATACACTTTTCAAAATTTTTTCAAACTTGAAAAGCTTGCTCGATTCTTTGTGGTAGCAAATCTGCGTTAGTCTTTCTCTAAAAACGTCAGAAAATAAACTCCTATTCAAATGTAAATTAAAATTACTTGATATGGATATGTATATATATAAGAATTTAGAAATGATACTTTTAATTTTCGGCAGTGTAAATTTGATTAATTTATTTATTTAAAAAAAATGTTTTTTTTTTCTTTTTTTTTTAATTTTTGTAATCATTTTTTAATAAAAATAATTTTATAAAAATAAAAAGTAAAATTACGTTTAAAATTAGCAATATTAATATAAAATGTACACCATATGGTTTTTATAATTAACATTCTTTGAAAAATATTTTATGTTAAATCTATGTATGTTTTTGCAAATACGCATATTAAAGTATTATTTAAAAATATGGTAACAAAAACATAAGCTTAAAAAAATTATTAGGCTTTCCTTATCATTATTCTCATAGACTTTCATTTAAACATATAACTTTGGTGAGGTTTTGTACATTCACGTGATGCACAGTTTTATAGGTTATAAAATTGAAATATTATAAAAAATTTAATATTGTCATAAAATATTATTTTAACAGGAAGCAACGATTATTTTAACTAAGCACTTTGCAAGAAATAGTTTGCAAAATAATCAGAATTTAAAACAATTAAAAAAAAAACTAAATAAAATAAAACATTTATAACAACTATTCAAAAATAAATTGACTGAAAAAGCATTAGATGCAAATTTTTATATAAATATTTTTGAGAATAAAAATTTTCTAATTGTAAGATGTCATTATTAGAGCCATCCATGGCACAGCTTGAATATTTGCTGACTATTATATTAATGCTTTTGAAATTAGTTATGTCGTTTCATGTGTAAAGCCAAATGATCTGAGCGTGAAAAACACCTGTCACAATTGTGGCATTTGAACGGCTTAGCACCCGTATGCTTTCGATAATGTCTGGTCAGCTCATCACTTCGGGCAAATCGCCATACACATCCGTCCCAGGAGCATTTATACGGCTTTTCACCTTAAATAATAATGAAAAATTTTAAATTATTATACTGTTTAATCACATTATTAAATTATTAGAAAATATTAGAAGAACTCTCTTCCTTATAAGTTTAAATTACTTGACAAACAAATATGGAAATAAAATGAAATGCTTTTTTTTAATTTCAGCAGTCTTTTTACTGACCATATTGTGTATACAATATAGGTAGGTTACGTGATGGCAATAAATTTTGCATATCGAGTTTTCAGTGGGAACGCACTTCTCCATGGTAGGGAAGTGTAAATAAACTATTTTTAGCAACCTGTCGGTCTGTGTGTGCACGCGTGTATTTCAAGTCCGGCTAAACCGATTTTGAAGAAATTTTGTGCGTAAATTTATTTCGACTATTGCACGGATATATTATTCTATATATTGATATATAGAACTTTTAGGATATATCAGAACTCGGGAACTGCACATTTTAGCGGGCCTGTTTTACTTTTTTCATCATTATAAAGAAAATACTCAGCAGATTTCCTTGAAATTTCATATATAAGCTTTGCTCGTCCGTTCCCGAAACCTCCCATTTTTTGGAAGAAATCAGGCGTCAGCAACTGGACGTTTACTACAGGCCAAATATACATTTTTGCGTATCAATTAATCAACCAATCTCATTGAAATTTGATATTTAAATTCGAGATATTAATGCAATAAATCTATAAATTTTTTGGAAAAGTCAGGGCTCGGAAACCGATTGGAATGAGGGCCGATTCTACATTTTTTACCATATCTACGGAACGAATTGATGGAATTTCTTGAAATTTGATATTTTAATTCTGATTGTTACCGAAACTAACTGACGAGAATTTCAGTGAATTCGGGTAGCATAAAGCGAAACTCTAGTAAGAGCCAAGTTTAAATTTTTCTAGGTATGTTAACTATAAGCTTACTAATGCCCTAAAAATTGGAAAGAAGTATTTAACAGGCATTTTTATAATATTCGGTAACACTTAGCTAGACAATACAGATTTTTTTTTATTCTATTCTAACTTAAAATTATCTATGGATAAATTTTTCTTTTTCCAATGTCATATCTGTATTTTTTTAATTAGAAATTTGTTTTTTATTTAAAAAATTCATTTTTATTTAAAAATGTGATTTTTATTTTACTCGCCTTGAACTAAAACATTCTAAAAGTGTTTATGTGACATTTCTTACTCATGTCTCCATTTAAACCTATCAAAATAAACAAAAATGACTTGTCAAGTCTAAAAAACGAAACGGAATGAGGAATTCAAAAATATTTTATAAATTTTCTATGATTTGTTCTACAATTTTCTATGATGAGTTTTATGTTAATGCTTTTGAAATTAGTTATGTCGTTTCATGTGTAAAGCCAAATGATCTGAGCGTGAAAAACACCTGTCAAAATTGTGGCATTTGAACACCATATAGTTTCATATTTCATATTTTGAAAATATTATATGAACTACATATGAGGTAATAAATTCCTATTATGTTAGATATTATACAGAAGGGAAAAAAATTCATATAATGTTTAAGTCAATATATAACTATGTCGTACCATTTCTGATAAACTTTTTGTATTCAATAAATATAAATCAGTATAGGAAACATCAAGGAATAATTTAAAACTTTCAACTTAACCAATTAAAACAAATATTCAGAAATAGTCCTCATATTCAAACAAAAAAAAAACTTTTTTTTGGCTTTTGCTTCAGTAATAAAAAAATCTTATGTGATCAGTGGTTTACCGACCGCAATGTACGAGTATATTGTCTAGTTTAGTCAAAGTGTTACAGAAGGTTATGAAAATGCTTTCACTACTTACTTTCAATTTAATTAAGAAGTTAGCAAGCTTTTATAAGTGCCAAAAAGGTGAAGTTGAGAGATATAGATAGTTACAGCCTTGTACACTCTGAAATTATAAGTCAGCCTGGTATAAGAAAGTTTTTAAAAAATTTATAAAACTTTAAAAAACTTTACAAAATTCTTATAAGCAAAGCGTACGAGAATTTGACGTTTATTAAGTTTTTTCAACTTTTCCGTCTGGTTTATTTTTTTTGAAATAAGAATTCTTATTTCTTTTTGCGAAAAGTTCCGTCAATTGTTTCTCTGTTTAAAGTTTTTTTTAATTTTTATAGCAGGATAGGTCCGGGACCTTTTTTGTCAACAGCTTGTCTCCCACCACCCATGCAATTTTTTTTTCTGAAAATTGTTCAAAGAATCATCCCTGGAAACATTTTCGACCGTATGCGATACACCCTGTATAAACTTCAATTGGATACGTGACGGCAAAAAAACATTACATGAGATACATATGTACATAATTAAGTATAAGTTTTTTTTTCAATTTTCTGGTAATAAATTTTTAATTTCAAAAAATATTATTTTTGTATTTAAAATTTTCGAAAAACGGGATAATTTTTTTTTAAAACGGATAAATCCCCGTATATAAAAATCCCCGTGAATAAATAATTACATATAAAAAAAATTCTAAAAGATTTCTAAAAAACGTAGTTATTCAATTTTAATAATTTGTTGTTCTTGTCTTTGTGTTTGCTTGCATTTTTTTGTTGTATTATAAAATATTTTAAAATATTTTATTAATCTCAAAATGATTCTTAAATTGGAATTAGTAACTCTGGCAAGTCTCTTTATAACATGGCTACAAAAAACAGTCTTAAATATTTTGCTACATGTTTTGATTTACGTTTCGGCTGCGTATTCCATACATATTAGAATAGTGGACAAATCAACAGCTTTAATATACATTTTGAAATATGATACATACAAATGTAAACTTTACCTTTTCACTGCGTTTTTGAAGCCAAGGGTTTAATTGAATTTATTAAATCTTTTGAAAAAGATAGTGCTTGTGTAATAAAGTGCATTATTTTCCTTTGGTTTTTAATTATTTATTTTTCATTAATTTTTGATTTTAAATTATTTACTAATTCTAAATTTTTTATTTTTTAAATCTCTGACTTTGCTATATGCTGATGGTATACATATAATATGGATAAAAAATATTAAGCTTCGCACCAGATTTGATCAAATAATTCTTGATGTGTAAACCGAATTTCTCATACAATTTCATAGTTGTTAAATTTAATCATCAAACTTTGCTTGATAAGTAAACGGTACCTAGCACTATGAAAATTCATATACATATATGAATTTTCATGAAGATGTCTTGCCATATCTTCACCTTAATTACCACAATAATATGTAATACTATGATCACAAATTATATTTTTAATAGTAGATATAATTTTATAAAACCGAATTTCTTTCTAAAAAAATTGGTCTTCACATAAACATACTCTTAGAGGGTCTCGTAATCATGGTTTTAACGAATTTCATAATTATAAAATGTCAAAAAAGAAGAAACCTGTTTTTTAATAGCCATATTTACGTTAGAATCATTTGACAATATATGTACATATAAGAAAAGAAGAAATTTTATTTAAACATTTAAATTTTACTTAAGAAATTTCTTAAGAGACTATCTCTAAAATATTAAAGAAAGGATTTTCATTCACTTTTTTGAGCTCTGTAATATGTCACTTAAGAAAGAAATTTACTACCGAACGATTGCAAAAATGTATTTTGTACATGCATATGTATATGTAATATATTTGTACATATTATAATATGTGTATTACATTTTTTCTTGACAATTATACAAATATAAAAATTCAAAGAATTTGTGAATATAAAAGTAAATAAATCTTGGAAACATAAAAAATTTTTTTTATTATAATAAATTTTTGTTTTTTATGTAGCGATTTTTGCGTTTAGAAATAATATGGGCCATGCATACACATGTAAGGCTATTTCGTAAATAGATTGCTTTTTTTTACCTGCTAATACATTTAAAAATATTCAATAAAAAATTTGCAAGCACTAAATATAACATGTTTGACCTTATTTTAAAATAACTATGTAAAAATTGTTTGGAAAGAAGTAAATACATTTTTATTTTTAATAATTCAAAAACTAATTGGAATTATTTGAAACAATTGTATAAGTATTTTTTGAAGAAGTGAAATGAAATAATAACTTAAATTGCTAAAATATACTACATTATATTACTCTCAATACTTTGTTGGACAACAGTATTCAACCTTATTGAAAAATACAAAATGTACGCAAAAAAATCATATATCCCTTTTCATTAATATTTGTAAATATACTTAAATATGAACATGAATAATTTTTTCATTTTTCTTTCTATCATTCTTTTTTTTTCGTTCAACAGAAATCAAATGGGAAGCTTTTGAATCGTTTTACGTAAAAAAAAAAAAGAAAAAAATAATAGCAAACATCACATGATCAACAGAATTAAAAAAAAAAACAGAAACAAAGGCAATAAATCAAAATAATTCGTACAAAATATTGAGCATTGTCACTTGTCAGACAGATATATTTTGGTTATGAAATTTTAATTTTAATTTTGGTTAAAAAATTTTGATTTTTTATTATAAAAGTGTCAAACTTAGAAAAAAACCATTTGCGAATCCATTCTTTTTCTTTTATTTTATTTTTATTTAAAAAGTTTTAAACGAAAAAAAGCATATGTTTTGACAGCTTCAAGATTTTAAAAGTCTTTAAAACATTAAATTTAACTTTATAAAGTTTTTTCAAGTTTTATAAAGTTTTTAAAAACTCTTGTACTAGACAGACCTAATCATTATGACATATATTTTTATTGATCATGCCAAAATAAAAACTGAAATGTCAAACTATAATAGCTTTGATAGTAATAATAGGAATGTCAACAATGTTTGTGATAAACTAATAGAAAATGTAGCAAAGTGTGTATTATCCGTAAGGACTCTGAAAGCTTAGTATAAGAAAGTTAAATACGGATAGATAAAGGCCATTTATGGATGCAGAATGCATTCAATAAATAAAAACAAAGAGTTATTGGTTAAAACAAAAAATATATCGAAAATCAAAGTGAAATATAATTTGAAAATAAATATAATTTTTGGGTAAACGAACTTATA